GCCCGTTCTGCTTCTCAAATTTTGGGCCTTTAACTTATTCTAGAACGGCCCGTTTCACTTTTGAAACGGCCGTTCTGGGCAACGAATTGGGCCTACGGCCCATTGAAAATTGGGTTGTTACATACACTGCTTATATAAAGTTTTTTTACAATGCAACCAATTATATCTTGTAATTGTGTCATGTCACTGTAAACACATTTACTTTTAACAATGACATGGCACAACTAAAAGTGTGGAAGAAAATATACACAAAGTTTTGATGATGCCAAAGCATTAAAGAAAATAAAGCTCAAGTTAAAGCAAGTTGATCAAGAAGCAAGATCTCAAGTAATAACTAGATAAGTCTTGACTGCTTAGCTTACTATGGAAAATGAACTTTTAGAATTTGCAAATTTCACTTGACCATTAAAATAAGGATTTCAAGAAAACCTAAACTTAATCTTTTTTAATATAAGAATAAGTTGTTTGAAAAGAAAGTAAAAGGAGTATTCAAAAGATTAAACAAAAATATTTTTAACTGGAAAATAGAAGCTTTCTATATCTTAAGTTTTCATAAGCTAATTCGGTGATATATGTCTAGTAATCGATTACCAGAGAAAGAAAACTTTTTTTTTTCAAGGTTCAAATGCTACAATGTTCTCTGGTAATCGATTACCAGTCATTGTAATCGATTACCAGAAGATGAAACTTCAAAATTTGAATTTAAATGATACAACATTTCAAACATTTCAAACTTAAACCATTGTAATCGATTACCAAGTCTTGTAATCGATTACCAGAGCCTCTTTTCTGAAAAAATTATAGAGAGTTACAACTCTTTATGAAAAGACATAACCTAAGAAACAATTGTCTATAAATACCTATAATTTTTCAAAGAAAGGTTACGAACTCTAATGTAAAAATCTATTTACAAAAACTACTTGTCCAAAATCATTTGCAAAAATTTCTAAAGAGTTCATCAAATTCTTAGAAAGTGTAATATCTACTATTCAAAGAGAGTCATTCTGTAATACCCAATTGATCATTGGATCTGTGAAGGAGAAAGGATTTTTCTCCTTGTTGATTTTTGAATCTCAACACAAGGAAAGAGAGTTCTGAGGTGTTGGAGGATTCAAGTCTTGTAAGGCTTACAAAGAATAGTAGAAATCTCAAGTGGGAGACTTGAGGACTGGACGTAGGCAAGATTGGCCAAACCAGTATAAAATTGAGTTTGCAATTCTTCTTTGCCTACACTTTTAATTACTTCTTACTTACTTGTGTTTTGAGTAGTTTTGCATCATTAATTACATAAAATTTGTCTAAGAATTTGAATATATGAGATAACATTTCTAAAAGTTTATAAAAGAAAGATGGAAAAATCTAACAAGAAAAATTGGTTAACTTAATTCACCCCCCCCCCCGCC